TTTAGTTTGCTTAATAAAAGGGCTGAAAAATGTCACTGATTCCAAAAGTAAGTCACTTGGGGAAAGAAACATTTAATTGGCACTCTGCTGTCCTGCTACAAAGTAACAAGGACATCCTAATATTTTCTACAACTTTCATCTGGAATCATGGAAGGTGGTCAGGTAGCCTGTGGAACTAGCTTAGCTTTCAAAACATCTATGAAGACTACAATAACCACAGATTGCCAATTTCTCAGTATTATATGGTTTACTGAGCTACAGGAACACCTACCTTACCTGAAAAATAGTAACAACATGCACTTAGGAGCAAGTTTGCAGCAGAAACTAAAGGAAATTGAGGAGTAGAACAGAAATTAGAAGAAAACATGGTTGGACCCTAAACATATACACGTTTGTCCACCCTTCAAGTATTTTTAAAGTACCTACCAGATGTTCTATCAAAGTTCATGTGCTAGGAAATCAGCTGTGGTCAAAACAAATCTTTGCCATGAAAAACCTTATATTCTAAAGCAAGAGTCAGCAAACTTCTTCTGTAAAGGGCAGATAGTAAACAGCCTAAGCTTTGCAGGCCATATCTTCTCTGTTACAACTACTCAACTCTGCTCTTGCAGTGAAAGCAGCCACAGACAATATGTAAACAAATGAGAGTGGCTGTATTCTAATTAGACCTTTAACCACAAGTACAGGCAGCAGGAAGAATGATCTTACAGGGTCTCCACGATATTGAAAGGCCTAGACTTTTCTTATGAGTGAAATGTGAGGTCACTTGGGTCTTTGAGGAAAAGACTAACATTATTACACTTAACAAGCACCATTATTAAAAAGGATCATTTCAGAGTCTGTGTAGAGAATAACCAGTGATGGTGTAGGGAGGCAAGAAAATGGGAAAGGTAAAAGCAGAAAGCAGTCTGAAGTTATTCCAAGAAAACAAGATATGAATTTGTCTTACACCCCAATAGTAGCAGCATTTGCTAAATGCTTCTACTTCCAACTAAATTATTTTTGGCAAATTAGTGGCTTTTAACTTCAAACTCAGGAATTCCTGTAGTATGGAAAGGCAAGTTATTCAAGATGTTTGAGCTGAGTATAATATGTTTCTTTTCAAAGTCACAAATTAAGCTCATATCCTAGTAGCCAGTGCTCAGCCCATAACCCAAGAAAAGCATTTTTGGCCTCAACACCACTGAAATGAGCAAAACCCACTCCAACAGTACCTGATAGGGACTGCTCAGTTTCCAAAAGCTTAATGCAAAAAATAAATCATGGTTTGCAAGTGTTGCTGCCACATGGACTTTTAGAACTCTGGAATGAATAAAATGGTTCCACATCACTTAACCAATGATCTGTTTATATTCGTTTTTGCCAACTTACGAACAATGCTATTTCTTTCATATGCTAAACTCTAAGTTATAGGTTCCAAATGACAATTTTGGTGTTTTGCTTTCTGAAGCACCTACTTAGGAGAATTTTTTTTTTTTTTGCCTGGAATTCACAACATATTTAATATTCATCATCTTTACCAAGCAACTCAATCAAGATCTGAATAGCAATGTCTTCATCATAAACAACAATGATTTTTCTAAGAGGTTACATAGGTAGGGAAAGAAACCCATCTCATAATATACAGCACCAGTGTGCCACAGAGATAGCTGAAAAAGGAACACTCTAGAGGGGGAGATCCTGCAAAGGTTTGGATATCTCTTCAGAGTGCTCCAAACTTGGATGAATTTTTGTTATAAATCACCTTGATTAATGGAACACATTTGCTACAGTGGTTCTGTAATAACTATACAATTCTACTTGCTTGAAAAGCCCAGCTTAGAAAAACTGGTGGAGGAAGGGAAGCCTTCAAAAAAATCAGTGGTGGGGGCGTCTGGGTGGCTCAGTCGGTTAAGCATCCGGCTTCAGCTCCGGTCATGATCTCACAGTCTGTGAGTTCGAGCCCCGCTATGGGCTCTGTGCTGACCGCTCTGGAGCCTGCTTCGGATTCTGTGTCTCCCACTTGCACTCTGTCTCTCAAAAATAAATAACCATTTAAAAAAAAAAAAGATTAAAAAAAAAAAAATCAGTGGCTTCTCTTTCAGGACCAATATTGCCCCTGATCAAAAATAATCCCCTTTCTTTTTTAAAAAAAATATTGAAGACAAATACATTTAAGGGAAGTACAATTTGATGAGATAAGAGTATAATAATAATCAGTAGAAATTATTTTGGGAGAAGTAGTAGTAGCATGGTAAGGAGTACAATTTTGGATGCAGCCAGGGGATGTGTTTGAATTCCAGCTGTCTCTCACTATTTGAAACTGGGCAATCTATTTAACCTCCCTGTTGTCCAGTTCTCTCATCTGTCAAATACTACTACTACCTATCTTATTGGGTTGCTGTTTGGTTGATTAAATAAATTAAGCCTTGTAAAGAATTTCAACAGTATCTGGTACAGAGTAAATACATAATAAGTGTTAGCTAATAGTACTACAATTATGTCTGTCACTTATAAATGTCAAACCAAAGTGAACAAAATATACCTAGAACAATATGGCAGTGTCTTCTAATTTATCGATTCATAGACAATAAAAATTCGATGAATGTATTTCCTTATACAGAATATTCAAAAAATTTACATCTTACAGTGCTCTGATTATTTGCTCAGATTACTTAGCAAAGATCTAATCCCCTGATGTTCTTCCTCTAATAACTCTTAAGAAGAAAACACCAACAATTGTATGATGTTTAAGTACACAGAGAGTAGATGCCATCATGTATATGTTTTGTTCTTCTGTCTACTGGCAAAATTATTTCTGGTCTCAAGTATATGCTTGTTGCTAAAACAACTTAAAGGTGACTAGAATGTTTATGAAATGTTAACACTCATATGAAGATGAAACATTATGCAAAATTCTGACATTTTTATTTTTTTTTTAATTTTTTTTTTCAACGTTTATTTTTATTTTTGGGACAGAGAGAGACAGAGCATGAACAGGGGAGGGGTAGAGAGAGGGAGACACAGGAATCGGAAGGGCCCAGGCTCTTGTTTATCGTAGCCCAGAGTCCGGACGCTAAACTCACATGACCGCCAGATCGACCTGCTGAAGTCGGACGCTTAACCGACTGCGCCACCCAGGCGCCCCGAAAATTCTGACATTTTTAAATGAAGTATAAAAGGATACCAAGTCCATGATGAAGGTCATAGAAAAAAATAGGTTATCTGATAATACACTATCATCTTCAACATTATTATCACTATCAGCTAACAATTACTAGTATGTTTAGCATTGTGGTAATAAACATCAAAAACATTTGCACTGCTGAATCATAGTGCATTGGTGGTGGTGAGCAACAATAGATTAACCTACTGATCAAACTTATGCGCTACAAATCAAAGGCTATTATAGTTAAAAATAAATACACAATGACCAAGACAATTTAATTCTTAATTATTTTTTTATATTGGGAATGAAGATATTAACAGTAAAGAATAACAGCTGTAACAGCTACATCAATAATTTGAGGCATATGAGTATAGCTTTTTTAATAGGAAAAATTGCTATAACACTAAGAAGTAAGAAAAGTTACTATGTTCAGTAAAGAAAAGACCACCCTCCCCTGCCATAAGTCACAGCAAAGGTGATTTTGGTGAGGAGCTAACATTACACCTGCTCCTCACTCTTCCATTCTGCTGCTCTTGCTCTCTTTTTCTAACTGGATAATCAAGCTGATAGATTCAAGGCATATACAATTTCTATTCTAAAATTTAAATCAGATTAAAAAGACTAAACTACAGACTTTGATTTTAACAATTGATTTGCCACTAACAAGTCGGGTGGAAAATTTTCTAAGCCAGGATCCTAGATGCGATGAAGGGCATTTCTCCTTTCATCTAATCGAGAGACAATTTTATCTTTTCTAAGTGACTTTGACACACACACACAATAATAATAATAATACACACACACACACACACACACATATATATATATATATTTTATATATTTTATATATATATATATAGCCAAAACATTCATTTATTTATTTTGAGGGAGCATTGGTATATGAGCAGGGAGGGGCAGGTGAGAGAAAGGGAGCATAATACAGGCACCCGAAGCAGGCTCCAGGCTCTTGAGCGTGCTCAGCATATAACGCGGGCTTCCTGCCAACCCCTGTCAACCATGAGATCACCTGGTTAAAGTCGGATGCTTGACCGACTGAGCCACCCAGGTGTCCCATGACTTTGACATTTTTTAAGAGTATTAGTCAGTTATGTTGCAGAATGACACTCAGGGTTTGTCTGATGCTTTCCAATGATTAGGCAGAGGTTACACTTTCTTCTGCAAAAATACCACAAAAGTGATGTGCCCTTCTCAGTGCTTCACTTCAGGAACTACATTATGTTGATATGTCCTTTTATTAGTGAAGTTAACCTTGATCACTCAATTAAGTGGTGCCTTCCAGTTTCCCCTCTACGAGCTACTATTTGTCCCTTTGTAATAAATGTCTTGAAGGAGATACTTTGAGACTATGCAAATAAGTTATTTTTCTCAAACTTTTGCCCAATATTTTAACATTCATTGGTGAATCATGCCTGCAACAATTATTATTGAGGTATTTATGTAGGGCTTTAAAGGGAACTAAAATATATAAAATATAATGGCCAAGTTGTTCTTAATACATATATTTTTTAAAATGTTTGCTTATTTTTGAGAGAGAGTGCAAGTGGGGGAGGGGCAGAGAGAGAGGGGTACAGAGGAACTGGAGGCGGCTCTTTGCTGACAGCAGAGAGCCCAATGCAGAGCTTGAACCCATGAACCATGAGATCATGATCTGAGCCAAAGTCAGATGTTCAACCAACTGAGCCACCCAGGCGTCCCTTGATACAAACATATTTAAATTCTACTGAATGCAGCATTTTAACTTATACTCAAAATATGAAAAAAAGTTATTTTCTTTTGTCAGTGTGTTCAGTTAATGCTAATCAATGAATAACATAATTAAAATGTTACTTACATAACTATGGCTTTTAAAGAAATCTGATGGACTATTGGTGAGGATTTTGTCTCCTTCCAAACCAATTACTCTTTTACAAATGTTTGATTTTGGATCACTTGGGCTTTTTGCAATCACAATGTCACCTCTGAGGGGAAAAAAAGTCAAAGAAAGGTCAGTGTTATTTATTAAGCATAAACACATGGACGGACCCTTACAACTTAAAGCCAACACTGTTTATCCTCTCACATACTGACCCTCTCATACATTTACCAGCTTTGTGATTGTTTTATGGGTCAGAATACAACAAGAGTAGTGGAAGCTATTAGAAGATTTTAAAATTTCTGGTAATTCCGTAAGAATTACCTTCTTGCACTGTACCTACTATATATTACTTCCATATCCAAATTTTTAGAACCAAAACTATGTAAAAGCAATTCCGTGTAAGTATCACCAAATTAACTAAGTTAATTTTACTGCCCAGCCAGTAGTATTGACTCTAGAGCACATAAAAATATAGAAATAGCAGAAATATTTCCCTAGAGCTCAAAGAACTGAGGAATTACAATATATATAAACAACCCAGATAATTTACAGTATAGTCAGACTTATTTTTGAGGGATAATATCAGAAGATACAACCAAATAAAATGCTAAAAGCTGCCCAAACACATACTACAAAAAATAAATTGGAGTACCAAACATATATAACCAATATGGGTATGATTATTTATCAAAGGCACGATTCATGGAAGAAATAACAATATATATGTGTTAGAAAAATAAGAAAGATCTTTAAAAGTGGAAATGAAGGAGACAAAATGGAGGAAGGAGACAAAATAAGGCTAACACCCCAACCAAACAGAACACAATTCTCTTTCTGCAAAAAATTAGTAGTAAGTGAATTCTGTTGACTAACCCACATATTTGAAAGGATTTAATATATTTACTTATTGTTTGTACACAGTTGCGGAAATAATTTGATGTTAGTTATAATAAAAGGGGCACATATCAAAATAGCAAAAGCTATAAAAATAAAGGGAAGATGATAGTCAAATCAGAAACCTAGTTATTGTTATATACATAAGTATTAATATGAGTTCTAAACTTTTTGGTAGCCAAGTCAAAAATGAAATTCTGATTAATTACACTGGAATCATTAGCTAACAAAAATAAAGTTTAGTTTGGTAGGTAAGACAAAATTGTCTTAAATAACCAAATCAAAGAGGAATGAATATACAGGAAGGATTCTCATGTAAGGTTATAAAAGACGCCTTCTTCATCAGAAATTTTACAGTAATAGTATTCACTGGAACAATAATTTCCTGGAGTTGAAAGCTATTAAAATACTAAATTCTAGAGGCGCCTGGATGGCTCAGTCAGTCAAGCATCCAACTCCTGATTTCAGCTCAGGTCATAATCCCAGGGTCACAAGATTGAGCCTTGCGTCAGGCCCCACGCTGAGTATGGAGCCTGCTTAAGATTCTTTATCTCTCCCTCTGCCCCTCTCCCCACCCTTGTACTCTCTCTCTCTCAAAAAATAAATAAAAATAAAACATTAAATTCTATAATTTGCAGGTAATATAAGGCTGCCCTTTCTCTGAAATGGGAAAAACTAGTCTCTTTTCAACCAACTGGAACCATACCAAAGGAACTTTCAGATGAATAAGTTTGCAAAGACTGTAACATACTAAACAAAGTTGATTTTGGCTAGCTTTGGGGAAATAAAATGTTTTCTGTGGATGTTTTATTCAGTTTACGTTTAAAAAAAATAATCAATATGACCCTTAAATTCTGTACTTGAATGGCAACATAAAAATCATAATTCAGTCAAGGTGTTTTTACAGAAACCAATATTAATGCAGATTATACTTTTGGTGGTCTAACTATAGAGTTTACAAAATAATTTTTCCTTGGACTCTCAACTCTTTCAAATAGGGTTTTTACAGGAACTTAATAGGAGTAAGGTTTAAATTTTCCTTTCACATTTATAGTTATAAACATCCTGATTAACCTACTAAATTGTACGCTTTTGAAAAAGACCAATATTTTATTCATCTTAACATTCTCTATAATATACTGCATATGTTATAAGTTAGGTGCTCATTAACTATTTGGTGAAAGAATAAATAGTAATAAGAGACTGTGATTATTATAAATATGAGTGTTCTGTGCACTTAACTGAAAAGAGATTCATGTGCTTTAAATACTAGTTATGCAGACTTTTATTTTGCCTAAACGGATGGCTATTCTAGCTTTAGAAACAGGCAGCTAGCTGAAGGATCTCTTGCCAAGTGTCCGAGATTCCCCTAAAATCTCAGAGTTCTGTGCTGTAGGTAAAAGGAATACTCAGGAGAGTCATATTTTTAAAGTTGAAGTTACCAACCAACTCTCTTGGCTGTAAAAGTTATTTGGTATATCTCATATAAACGCCAGATTTTGAGCTGCCCTTTAACCTAATGGGCCTCTTGAATGAATAGAATACAAAATGAAACCTCCAAAGAATCTTAATTAACTTACTGAATGTAGTTATTTGTATTACCCATCTGAATGCAAAGAGTATCTATTAAAAAAAAGATAATATTGAGCTATTCATTCAAAATCCATTTAGCCAACAAGTTCAGCTTCTTGTTAAAGATGCTCAAGGACTAGGAGAGTAAAATCATCTCATTAGCATGGAAAACAGCAGTTTATCTTCATGCTACAGTGATGCTAGGTCTCTAATTAATCCAAAGACTATATGAAGTGCTTTGGATATAAGGTAAAAAGGAAAGAAAGCTAGAACACAACCCCTGTAATGCAAGTCTTATTTTATAACCCCATATCTATCAATTTGGTATCTTAAAGTTGTTGAGTAAAAGATGTGAAGGAGAATTTAACCTAGACACCATAGTAGAGTACAGAGCTTGACCAAGAGATAACTTCAAGTTCTGTACAGAATCTAAGATGGTAAAAGATCAGTAAATGTAAAGAATACTTTTACACTTATTCTTGATGATTTTTCAGTAATGTGAAACAGACTATAGAAAAGGCCAATAATGAAAGAGGAGTGCTTAAACCTTCTTATGCCATAAGCTAAATAACAACTCAAATGAGTCAAATTTGTAGTTTATGGAGAAGAAAAGCTAGTATTTATTTTTTTATAATTGTGAAAAACTAATGAACCCAAAATTTTAGGGAATCAGAGAAGTGCCCTTTAGAAAATACATTAAATTACTGGGGGCACCTGGGTAGCTCAGTCAGTTGAGCGTCCAACTTTGGGTCAGATCATGATCTCATGGTTCATGAGTTCAAGCCCCGTGTTGGCCTCTGTGCTGACAGCTCAGAGCCTGGAGCCTGCTTTACATTCTGTGTTTCCCTCTCTCTCTCTGCCCCTCCCCACTTGCGCTCTCTCTCTCTCTCTCTCAAAAATAAAAATTAAAAAGAAAAACGAAAATACATTAAATTACTAATACTTGACATTCATTCAGAAGGAATAATACGTAGTTAAGCAGAATAAACAGTATCATAGGACTGGAAACACCACTCAGAATAGGGTTTTTAAAACTTTAGTAGGAAACAGTATTTGTCAAGGAGTTTTTCAACCTAATTAACCAGGAGACTCATACTAGATGAGATTCCTGGTTCCCAGGTATATACAGTGCTATAGTCGAAGAATCATCAAGTGCTCATCATAAGCTATGAAGAATAAAACAGTCATCAAAAGAAATTCAGGATTATTTCAAATATTTAAAAAGCAATCATTGGTTTGTATATGTAATGTAGTTCCTAAGTCCCTAGGTTCTTCACTCAAACACTGTAGGGCTCTCTCTCCCCCCAAAAAAGTAAAGTGGGCTTGACTGTACATTATAAAATGGCTGCTATTCTATTTTAGCCACTAATGCAAGGAACAGTGACCCAGAAGACTGCATGTTTACAGAAACTATTAAATTTCTCAAACTGAGAGAAAATATTTGAATCAAAATTTTAACTAGGTGGTCATTAATTTGGTTATTTACAGAAGAGTTTTTAAAAATAAAGTTAAGAAACTGCAGAAAAGACACAATGTGAATGCATGTTTTCACCATAACTTTAATGTATCTATGACAGAAATTTACCTTTGGATACCATAGAAATGTCGACTAAGATTTTCTGCAAAGACAACATCTGAATTTTGGATTGTAGGCTCCATTGATGGTCCAGAACACTGAAAAGAGAGGTAATTTTTTAATTTGAATGGAAACCCTTTTTTATATAACATAAATCATCTGAGCAGGCTTATAAGAAAGAAATTCAAACAAATGTTCTTCAAGCTTGGCTGATGATTCATAAGTTGGCACCTCCCAGGTAAGTTCAACTCTACAGAGTGGCCACCAAGTCTGGAAACACAGGTAAGTATATTAAAAATGGCTGAGTGAGAAAACATTATAATACGTGAATAACATATGTTTCCAAATTTTGACCATCCTGTATAATGTAAGCTCCATGAGGTCAGGGACCTTATCACTCACATTCCTAAGCTATATAATCAACACCAAAAACATGCTTTGGCATAAAGCTGATAGTCAATAAATATTTGTTGAATAAATGATTTGCTTTCTTGCTATTATCAAATATCCAGTGCCTATGATGGTAATTTATTAAGTAGTATCATACTATTCTCAATACGTTCATGCCTTGAGTTCTCTTCTAAGAAAATAGCTTACTCATTTGATGAGGCTGCAATTTGTATTTTCTACTGAAAAATAGTGGCATAATGAGATGCACTTTAAAGATGGTCTATTAGTATGAGTTAAAACAATAATCTTCATGTATACCTGAGAACGGTAATAAATGATCACTGCCACTTAAAATATCTAAATACACCAGTCTCCATTGACTTCACTTATGCATAGATGAAACTTTTTACTCTAAACTTCTTACCGAGGCAGAAATAACAAAGAACAAAATGAAAGTTTATATATGCTACCTCTGTAGCCCACTGGAAGTACCAATGTAAATTTAAAAAATCAAAGAGGGGACTTCTAGTTAAATATGTTTATTTGCATTTCTCCAACTAAACTTGAGGTTGTAGGACTGTGAATCTGTTAAAACAACATACCACCAACAAAACCCACTCACTGGGTTTTGTAGATTCCAAAGTACTACTTGTAGATTCCAAATCTACTTATTAACTATGGAACTTGGAGCAAGTTACTTAAACTTACTGAGCCTCAGTTTTTTCTTATGTATGATGGATTTCTATCTAATAAGTATCTCACAGAGTAGAAAAGATTAAATGAGTTAGTAAATATAAAACCTCAAACATCACTGGAACACAGTAAGTAGCATTCAATAAATGATAAAAACTATTATTATTAGATTATTAGTAGGGCCCCTCTCAGAAACAGAATACAGAACCTTATTTGAAGTGATGTTACTTAATTTTATATTAGTGCCAATTCCAACATTCTCTTACAACCCCAAATTTAGAAAGATTTTATGCTTTAATAGTCCCATTTTATTAAATAACTTCCATTAAATAACTTCCATTAAAATAAAGAAAAAACACATTTTCCTTCATTAAAAAAGTATATATTTAAAATTATTATTTTCTTGTATGTAAAAACTTACCATGACAACACCACCAACATATTCAAAAGCACAATGAGCTATACAGCCATACTGGATAGTATAGCCAACAAGTCGAAAGGTTTTTCCCAGAACACCACGAAGCATAGTTCTATGCAGACTCTGCCACCATTGGCCTGATGGTAAATTTCAAAAAGTTTCATGATCAATACTATTTACAAACACTTAAGAAATAGTTCTATTGTAAAATATTTACAATCAGTCAGAATGTAGTAAATACCTAATACAGTTTGGTGCAGAAAAGCAAGAGCTTATTTTCATTTGTCCTAATGCTATTTTAAATGACAAATTATGACACTTAATATTTTTATTTCTGAACAGAGATTATATTCAAATAATATCACTGGTTTATATATGAATTAGATAACTAGTAGACTCTAAATTTGTCTCCTTTCACGCTTTGTTTCTTTTCTTGGTGTTAAGATAGATACCTAAGAAAAAATATTAACTCTTTCAAAGTACTAATAACAGTTTCCATATTGTTACCTGCTACACTGTATCAGTTCTTGCCTAACAGGATATAAAAGAGAAAGCACTAGAATAGGTATATGGAAATACAAGTATCACACTGACATTTTCATTAACTTGTGTGATCTTCAATGACTTATTTAACCACTCTGGGCCTGGAAATAATAATAACTCATAGGACAGTTCTGAGAATTGAATTCAATAACATGCCAAAGTGCTTTGTAAATTATAAAGTTATATTCAGTTGTCAGCTATTAACTACTGATACAATGATCACATGAATACTATGAAACAACATAAAGACCATATATTTTTTTAAGCTACAAAAAAAATTTTTTTATGTTTATTTTTGAGAGAAAGAGAGAGAGAGAGAGACAGCGTGCGAGCAAGGGAGAGGCAGAGAGAGAGGGAGACACAGAATCTGAAGCAAACACCAGGCTCTGAGTTCTCAGCACAGAGCCCGACACAAGGCTCAAACTCACAAACCATGAGATCATGACCTGAGCTGAAATCAGACCCAACTGAATGAGCCACCAAGGCATCCCAAAGCTACAAAAATTTAAAAATATTATCCATCTAAAATATTCTTAGTATCTTTCCCTTCCTTTCTATTTACCTATTACAACTATTTCTTAACTAATGGCCTATGGTTTAGGCCTAGGCTACAATCATTGTTCTCAGATTAAATTTACTAAAACACATCAATAATATATAAGTAACATTTGCTCAATACTTACTACATGTCAGACTTTACAAGTTAACCTCTGTAGATATTATCATCATCACTTTATAGATAAAAAAAAGGGAGCCTAAGTGTAGAGAACTTATATACTCAACATCACAAAGATGGAAAATGAGAGTTAAGAACTTAATTATGTTACACTGACTCCTGTATTACTCTCCTGCTCCCATAACATCAATGGCTCTCTATCAGATGAAATACAGATTAGACTCATTTCCAGGATCCATGACAGATGGCTGCCACCCTGTCCTCAGTTTCTAACCTGATCTTCCCTGATACTCCTACATGACCTGACTACTCAATTATACTGGTCTGTTCTTCAAGGAAACTTTGCCAGTAAACACTTATTTATGCCAACACCCATGCCTGGAGTATTCTTCATGATATCCATCATCTATCTAATGTGCAACTCTTCTCCAAATGCTCTCAACAGGCAAGATTTTCTTTCTCTTCAGGGTTCCCATGGGCCTTTTTATACACACACACACACACACACACACACACACACACACCACACCACACCACTGAGAGCACTATTTCTAAAGTTGATCTGTTTGAATTTGTATCCTGGTTCTACCATATTTTAGTTGTGTGACCTCCATGAGGTTATTATGCCTCTATAAAGCAGACTTAATATCAATACCTAAGAGAGTTAGTGATTACACGTGATCAGACACGTAGTCTGTAGCAGAGTATTTCAATAAATGCTAGTATGCTAGTTACTGTATCATTCACTTGGCAATCTACTCTATACTCTATAACCTCCTAACATTAGTTGTATTTTCAAGTTTTTTATCTTTAAATAAGATAATAGAATTTTATAGCCTACAGCGTAGGGCTGTATCTTTTATTAGTGTTATATTACTTACTAGTGTTCATCCACCTATTAAACATTTACCATGCCTCCTCCTCTAACAAGTTTTCCTTGGCACCATCCCAAGAAATGTAACTCATGCTTTGTGTCACTCACCTTCCTTAGGCATACACTGATTATAATGCTTACCACACTATACTGTTTATATCTTTCCCCTTATTATAGTACATTTGTTTATGTCTGCAGGTAGTGACTGTGTATTGTTCACCTCTGAATCCTCAGGTCCTACCAAAGACGACAGTAAACAGAAGACTTATCTGAGGAAATTAATGAATGAATTTTGAATCCGATCTCCTCTACCATCCACATCTTCATCATGATAGAATAGTTAACAATGTTCAAAATGATTATCAGAAGACCACTGAGATTTTTGGTTAATGGAGAGACATGCAAATGCCATATTCACTGAAGAAAGAAATTGTCAGTAACATATTAAAAAGTCTTCTCATTAAATCATTGAGGTAATGTGAAAAATAACTCTTCCCATCAGGAGAAATAAGGAATCTGGCTTACAGTTATAACTGATGCACTTTAAAAAATAGCCATTTCTAGAGTTCAAAAAATAAAAAGTGCTATTTAAAGATAAAAACACTCTATGACTGAAGCTCTATTAATTCAAACAGACTATGAAGAGGAAAAATGAAATACTAATAGAATACATTTTGTCTATAAAATTAATTACGTTGTCTGAGCACTACTTTGCTCCAAATATAAGATTAGGGAAAAGTGGGATAAGTCCTGTAGCTTAGCTCTGAAAATTTGATTTATGATAAAAAATCCTAAAAGTAGTGAAGTGTATATTACATTTTAAAATGAAAATAAAAATGGGCCCTACCTGGTATTAGAAAGGGGATGTATTATTAAACAAGAGGAAACATACGGCACTTACCAAAAAGCTATTGGTAATACAGGTGAAAGATGAAATTAGAGGGTAAATCACTTAGCAATCTACCAAAATTTAAATCATTTGGATTATGCAATAGAATCCACTTGGTTAAAAAACATATGCAAAAGTACTGAGACGCTGTAACTATACAGTGGTTCTGATTCACTGAGAAGGCTTGTTATTAACTCACATTCAGAAGTAATTGGGGCCATAAAGGCTTTTTTATGACTCAGACAATGCCCAACTCCAAATGCAATGTTTGTAATGGAACTGTCTCATAAAATAATAAAATTAATAGATGAGAGTGATCCAAAGAAAGAAGTTAACAGACCCTGTTTCTTCCCTATAGGTATTAGCAACAGAATGGAGTCTGAAGTGTCTAAAATTACTTTGGATATTAGTCTATTAAGGGGAAAAAGAGCTATGAAGCTATTTCGAGAGAAATCTGAGGATAAAAGACTATGTGGCCTTGTATTTTAAAAGTGCACTGAAAAGCACTGTTGAGGAATATTGAAATTGAGAATAAGAGCTGATGGATTTTTTAAAGAGTAATCTCAGAGCAGAAAGTAGCATTCATAAAAAACACAAATAAGCCATACACTGCTAGCACTCAGTAGCCTTTCTAGCAAAAAGGATTAAGACAGAGGTTCCAAATCTCTGCTTTACATATTTATTTAAAAGGTTTATGTATCTATAAGTGAATACATGCTCTGGATAACTTTTGCTTGTCCCTTCAGATTTACTCTCCACCCTTTTCCATGTGCCCTTGGAAAACTGACCTATATAAACTACATCAAGGCACTCCTGTACCCAGTAACTGAACTCCAGTAGGAAGTCAGAGGAAGGAAGAGTTATGTCTTTTCTTGCCTCCTTACCTGTGGACTCTTCTCAGCCTGGCTATGTTTGGACCAAAGGTCGCTGAATCTCCAAAGGCAGTCTGCTATACAGTAATCTCTCTCCTAGGTTCCTATGACCCTTCCTTTACCTAGTCCCTTCGAGCTTAGGAATGAAAAGATTGACTGATGCTGGTTCCTGTGCTATCCGTGGTGATTCTCCCATACCCTGCACACACCTCTGTAATTAGTTTCTGTAAATAAACCTTCCTTACATTATCCAACTTTGAGTGTGTCAGCTGTTTTCCATAGGTGTCCTGGTGATACAATATACCTACCATTTGCTAAAATAACAACTCAGGTGGGGAGATGGGCTAAAAGGGTGATGGGCATTAAAGAAGGCACTTGTTGAGATGAGCACCGGGTGTTATATGTAAGTGATGAATCACTAAATTCTACTCCTGAAACCAGTATTATCCTATATGTTGACTAACTTCAATTTAAATTAAAAGAAGAATGTTAGCTTCCAAAAAAATAAATAAAAATATTAAAAAAAAACAACTCATCATGTAGAAGTTTACAATATTTGATGTTAATGAAGGAATTCTCATAAACAGGCATTTGTAAAACACTGCTGATGGGTATGCAAAACAGACAACCCCTAAAAAGAGGAATGTGGCTATCGTAATGGCATATACATTTTACTCTCGGACCAACCATCCCACTTTCAAGAATTATCCAGCTCCAAGATTCAAACACCATGTGCACAAGATTCTTTATATTAGCCTTATTGAAATAGCAAAAGCAGAAACAAACCAAATACACATCCATAGAAAACAGTTAACTAAATTACAGAACACCACACAAAGGATTCTATATACCCATGGTGGGGGGGGGGGAGGGGGGAGAGTTCTATGAGCTAATAATAAATGATTTCTAGGATAAACTGCTTTTAAAAAAAAGCAAGGTACAAAAAAGTAAATAGAGTAATTTATCATTTCTGAAAAAAGGGAAAATAATTTTTTAGCAAAGAGAAAGAAAATAATGAAAATGGTTACATTTATAAATGGAGTAGGTGAGAACAGTGTGAAAGGGATAAGGGTGAGTATACCTCTGCATACAGTTCTGAGGCAAATGCTTCATTTACACTGTTAAAAAAATAGAAGCAAAAAAAAAAAATGAAAAAAGGGAATTGTAAAATTGAAAACAACAAGAAAAATAAGCCTGTCTGTATACTCAAAATGCTAACACTACCAAACAGAAAAACTAAGGTAAAAAAAAAATTTGCAAATGAAATCTTAAACTCTTAGTAG